AGACAAAACTCTTCTTTTATCATGTTTGATTTGTTGGTAAGTTATAGATTATTTGCTGTTTCAAGGGTCACCTAATGTTTTGTATTCTGAGAATATAGACGCTATTTTAAATAACTTTTAAAGTTTGGGACTAAATGTGACTTTTTAAGACAGTATAGCCAAACTACAAAAAAATATTTGGTTGTTTTAAACATAGCCACAAAATTATTAGGATAAATTTGTCTTTCAACCAGAAAAATTATCTAAATTGTTTTTTATAATGGAAGGTTCATAAAAGTAAGGGCAGAATAAAAATCAGACAGTTGTCTAGTAAAATTGCAATATATTTTAAATACAAAATACAATATAATTTAACTTGACAAGTGAACAAAAACTGTTTTAATTTTCTATTTTTAAAAATTAGAACAAAATTAGAGTCCTTCTAAGGAAAAATAAAATTAAAATGATTGTTATATCAGTTATACTATATTTTCAAATGACAAAAGAAACTATTCCATGTAATTCCAGCATAAGGAAGGTCCAATGCCTGTTTCGAAAGCAGTACTAATGAAAATCATGCTAGAATTGTTTTTCATAATTTATTATGTAGATACAACATATTATGTATGATTTATAGGTGTTATCTAAAACTCTTCTATGAGTTTCATAAGTGAAGTGAAAGGCAATATGGTATAGATTTACAGAGTGAATAAGCAAGAAGACATGTTCAATATTCAATGATTCTAAATTTATTTATGCCATGATTACTCTGGCAAAAAGTAACTGAGAGGAGACAGACTTTATTTTCCTGAAAATTCCAGGATATGGTCAGTGACTGAAAGAAAGTCAAAGCAGAAGCATGAAGTATCACATTCTTAGTCATATTCATCAGAGAAGCTTCTTAGGTACATAGTAATTAGTCATAAAAACACAACTCACAATGGACAGAAAGAGATTTTAGAGCATTGAGTCCTAAATCTATGGGATCTACAAAGAGGAAGACAAGGAAGACTTCAGCACACAACAGAACTGACACACATGAGACTGTGGCAACACAAAGAAAACCTGCACAAGTTCAAACCCAACAAAATGCAAGCAGTAAGAAGGGAAAGTGGACACAAAATTCCACTCCTAACAAACAAAGCTGTTTATAATTGATACCTACTGGGAAAGAGGAATCTACTTTTCGGCAATGGTGTGTCATTGTGTACATAAACCACACTACAGGGCAGGTACCATGCTCAGGCATAGTTGAGCAACACAAAACAAATTACATGATTTGTGTAAATGCATGTGTGTGTAGTGTGTGTGTGTGTGTGTCTTGCTGGCTATCATTTTTCTGTCTTATTTTTTCCTGTGATTTTTAATTTATGTATTTATTTTTTGAGAACAGCAAGGTGGGTGGGTAGGGAGGTAGGGAAGAAATGGGAGGAGATGGGGGAGTGATCATTACAAGATACCTCATAGACCTATTCAAAACAATTACTTTTGTTTTCAAAAGTTAAATGGCTTGGAAAGCTCTCCTTTCAAAAATTGTTGCGAAGTTGACAGAAGAGCATGCATATCTCACTTAATTTGAGATAAATTATTTAGCAGATCACTTCTGGGCTCTGTTGCAATAAACGGTTTATAATGAAATATTTCCTTGATGTGCTTGAAAATGTCTCCCTGGTATTGAGCTTGAACACATTTCCAAACCAAATTCATAAGTCAAAAAAGAATCCCCATTTAAACAAACACTATAAATTAGCAAAAGTCTGAAACTGATAGGCTTGTTTCATTATTTTGATTTCTATTTCTCCATTCTTATTAAATCTTATGATAATTTTCTCTTCTGATTTAATATGACTGATTCATGAGATGGTGTAAATATTCCAATCCACAAATGGAAATATTAATGAGGACCATGTAAACTGCAATGCCCTGGTTCTGGTCACCTGAGTGTGTTTTGTTAATACTAAGAAATCAATTTTAAGCCTTAAATTCTCCATCAGAGGAAACTCACCATACAACAAAATCCCCTGAAATAAATAAGGATGCCAGGCTGATAGGGTTGAAAATGTCAATGTTCAAAAGAGCTGATACTGCATTTCTGTAGTTTGTTTTCCCTATAGTGATGAAATGTGCAGATCATAAATGTAAAAGCCCCATTATAATGACAACCTCAAGTTTTGTTTTTAATGTTAAAAACTAGCCTGGTATCACCACTCTAAGAGTGTCAAGAAAACTCCACTTTTTGAAACAGTTACACATAAACATAAAGATGCCCATGTAAAACAGTAAACAATTTTGCCTGGGTTCACTTTCCTTGCTAGAGCCTCCTGTTCAATCTCATTCTTACTTTCACTTGAAGATAAGCATTTTCTTCAATTTTAGGGCAGTAACTCCTTGTTTACAATGTGTACTTTTCTATCAATTCAGGTATATATAAAGAATTGTGTTTTTAATATGTTGATTTTAAACTTTATCTGAGTAGAACAACATGGAATTCTATGGTGATATCTTCATATTTTTGATATTCATTCCCATTGATATCACCAACAAATTTCATTAACTTTTACCAAATGTATGGAATGCTAAGATATAAATACATCATAATCTATATATCCATAGGTTTATAAACAATTTTCTTATTTCCTAATTGAACCAAATAGGAAAAAAATGTTTCAATTGATAACCTTTTGTGATTTCAGCTACACAGTCACAAGCATCTCCCTAAGGCAAACCTCTAGAAGAAGAGTTTTTGAGTCTTATGACTGGCACAAACTAAACTTTCCTATTGCCAAGTGGATTATACCCAACACTCCACCAACAACAGAAAGCTTTAATTTTATTGTAGCAAATTTTAAGCATTTCTGCTTTTATGTAATTTAAACCCCTTATTACATATTTATGGCTTTTCACATTGAACCAACCTGGAATTGATTAAACATACACAACCAATTTCAGATTTATTATTACCACATGATTCCATAACTATCCCCCACTGTTCAATAACTCATTTTTAATCCCATGGAAAATTTCTCTTTACAAACTGCCAAATGCTCTTTTTGATGCACTTCAATCTCCTTTGCATTAATATTTCTAGAATACCCTAGTGGTTGAAAAACCACTGAATATAGATGCATGTCCTTTCATTTTTGGTGCATCATTTACATATTTTGTATTTTACTCTCCATTTTTCTTATTTCCTCATTATTAAATGTGACCATTTAATTATCTGGTGTCATCAATAAGAATTTCTTCAGTACTAACCTTCAGGCTGCTCACTATGCTTCATTTATGAGTATATAGCAGGGTTCTAAGCCTACTCATCCAGTTCTCTCATTTTTATTATTTTTTTTTTCGAATCTGTATTTCTCTATTTCTCTGTGTAGCACTGTAGACCACGCTGGCCTTGAACCCACAGAGATCAGCCTGCCCCGCCTCCTACGTACTGGGATTAAAGGCATGTGCCACCACTGCCTGTCTTTCTCTCTTCATTGTTAAGTTAAAGTAGTGTTCTAATGGTTGTAAACATCTCTGGTTCCTTTCCAAATCTTTTTCCTTCTTCACATTTTCTAGCTTCTCTCATTTAAGTACATTGTATACTGTCACTCTAATTGTGATGGTAGTTTTGATATGGGTTAATATCATTATGATTTCTCTGGGTCCCAGTGCAAAATCTCTCTCTCTCTCTCTCTCCACTCTCTCCCCACATTCCCTTCTCTTGCCTCTCTCCCCTTCCTCCCTCCCAGTTTGATTTTTCTATTGCTGTATCTTTAGTTTTAGTCACTAGTAACTCACTTTTCAGACAGCTGGACCTGTGGGGATTCTTTGAGAATGTAGTTAAAGCTTTTATCTTCCAGTCAATCATAAAGAGAAATAGTATTTTTTCAAGTTCCTAATGGCATTGCTAATGACAAACCATACACACACACACACACACACACACACACACACACACACACACACATTGGTTTTTTGAGACAGGTTTTCTCTGTGTATCTCTGGCAGTCCAGGTTGTCCTCAAACACACAGAGATCTGCCTGGCTCTGCCTCTAGAGTGCTGGGATTAAAGGCGTGCACACCACTACCACACTACCATGGTCCAGCTTCCAACCATTTATATTCAAAGCAACAATTAAACACTTTTCAATGTATATACAATACATTTGACACACTTCTTAATTTCCCATGATTTCAGTGATGTGTACAAATAGGTGTGTTTATTTATAATACATTTAAAACAGCATTTTAGTAGTTTAATACTTTAAAATGGAAAGTTTATTTGGTTTTTTTTGACATCATACAGAAAACAGAATGGTTCACAGATGTGAGACATTCTTTCCCTCCATTTTTCAAAACCCATGGGTAGTGAACTTTTTTATAAAAGTTCTTTCTTAAATTTAAAACACTTCTCTCAGTATGAGAGATCTGTTGTACAAGGTTCTGTGGTAATAGTAATTCTGGTATTACTCATTGGGCATTTCCAGAAATGCAATTAGATTAACTTAGTCATTTTCAGAATTAGATTGTACATTGAATGGAGACATTTATGCATTACAATAAATACTACTAAACAATTGCAATACCTAGGTGGTACTGCAATAGTCTGCTGCTAGTTTTTTAAGTTTCTTTGGTAAGTGGCTCTAGGCATCAATCTCCACAACACAAAACATCACAGAACTCTGAGATCCAGAGACTCATGAAGAGTTCTGGACTCTTGTTTTATGGTTTGATTAGACCTCATCTTATGATAATCCACACTAGCCTCACTGGAATGTAGTAACTTCCCCACTGGCATTAAGATATTTTTCTTGGTCAAATCTTTTCGTTCTTTCTTCAGTACATGGCAGTTTGTCATCCACATCCCTTTCCTATTTGAGCCTCCCTGGAACTACAAGTTTGCACTAGTCATGCCTAACTTACTTACATTTATCAAATATAAATTTGATTTAAGTATAATTCAGAAAGGAATTTCTGAATTTCACTCCCTTCCAGCAAAAGATTTGTTTTTTACATTAGCTTATTGAGGTTACCTGAATGGGTCTTCCATCAGGAGTCAGGACCTCTTCTGAAAGTTCCATCATCTTTAAGGCCATCAGAGCAATGGGTTTGGCATGGCATAGGCTTTTTCTATGCAGCCCTGCTGCAACACAGTATGCGTCCCCTATTGTTTCCACCTGCAGTAATCAGACAAATCAAATAACAACAAATAGTGAATCAGAAAATAAATGATTAGTGCTGAAAACACATCAAATAAACATCAATAAATTAAGCAATTAGACAAGTGGGTGTAATCATATTCAAGTTTGCAAACAACTACAATCTGATACTGACTTTCTCACTCCAGGTTGTTCATTATTACCGTAGATGATCATTGAAATTAGGAATGGCTTGAATATGATTGCTCCTCCAAAAACAGAATTGTCAGTATTTTAACTCTATGATTCCCAAATGATGACTTCATGAAGAGTCATGTATCTTCTTCAAATTTTCAATAGCCTTTAGAGAGCTTGTGTTTCTTATCTTCAATTTTCCTAACTTTCTAGTTGCCCCAGACATCTACAGTGCATTCATCTGTAATTTGATATCAGGTCTACTTTAACTTTAACATTAGTTTGAGAAACCCCCCTCATCTCTCGGGGGGTTCAAGACAGGGTTCTTTGTATTGCTTTGGAGCTTGTCCTGGAACTCTCTCTGTACCCAGGCTGGACTCAGTCACACAGAGCTCTACCTGCCTCTGCCTCTCAAGTGCTGGGATCAAAGGCGTGCATCACCAATGGCACTTATTGTTAATAATAATAATACTAAAATCAGAATCATACTCCATGCCATTATTCACTTTAAATACATTATCTGGCATTAAATGAAATAAACTGATGTAGGAAGTCATTGTATTTCATTTGAGAAATGTGAAAGAGAGAAAAAAAATAAAAAAAACAGCCATAACTGTACAATGAAGGAAATAGTTAGTTACCAGTTCCTGTTAGGGAATTCTGTGGCCTTAATCTTATTTCATTGTAATGATATATGCTAACTGGCCATTGTTATTTAATTATTTAAGATATTGATCAAACTTTAACTGTCCTATATTTCCAAAGTTTTGTTGTGAGATCATTAATAGTCCTTCCTATTGGATTTAGATGCAGTTTACCATGTCTATCTTTGAATAGGTTCTAAAATTTCAAATCAGCATGCACTGTGATCCAATGAGCTGTCTTCACAGCCCTTATCTCTTTTATTTCTATATGTTTTTGAATTTGTAAGATTATTAGCTATGTAGTTAGGGATCAACTTGTCATATTGTTCCAGAATCACAATTGGAAGAGTAATTTCTTAGTATGAATTACATGGTTTTGCAGCTAGTTTGAATATACATCTTCCTGGTTCATAAACTCTTAGAATTTCTGTTATCATCACATTCACTCACTTACACATAAAGACTAATAAAGTTGAATTATATAAGGCATTTTCTTTTTAGGAGAGAATGTAGGAGCATGAGGTGAGTTGATGTTACCAGTTGATATGATGTACAAATACACTATAGAATAAAAAAAGGACAAATTAAATTTTTACAGAATATACATGAGTTCATAAAATTAATATTAAAATATACATATAATATCATAGAAATATTTCAAATATTTGGTTTCCAAATAACATGTATGATAGTTGTCATAAATAACAAGATTAAGAACTGGGTATAAAAATATATGACACCAGGACTGGAGTGATTTCTCAGTGGTGAAGAGCACTGGGTGCCCTTCCATAAGACCTGGGTTCCTTCTCAAGCATCCACCTTGTGGTAGACAGCCAGTTCTAACTTCAATTCTATGTGTCCTGATGTCCAACTTTAGATTCTGCAGGTACTACCTGCAAGTGCAGACATACATGCAGTCAAAATTTGTACATACATAAAAAATATAAAGTTAAAACATAAAATTCGAAATCATAGTAAGTCAGTGCCATACATTAAGACATGAAACTCTTGCAATGAGGGTGTGAGCAAAAGGTGCTCTAAAAGCTATTGATGTCATAGGTTTGGTTAAATCATCATGAGATGGTAATGTGACCTCAAATCTACCACCATAAAACAGTAGTTGTTTCTCATTTTTATTTAATAGTTCATTCAGGTTGGAGAATTAGATGGAGGAGAGAAGTCCTTAGCAATTCTTGGCAAGGGAAGGCTAAAGCCTCCACGCCTACAGCCATTCTATAGGTGCCCCAAATGCTTCTCAGATGTGACAAAGACAGAAGCAACTTCTAAAGAATTACTCACTAAAGCAAGTCAATAGGGACACATTTAGTGTGCAGGGTGCAGGAAAGCTCTAGTCACTATGATCACAGGAAAGATAGGAATGTTTGGTGAGAATATGTCAACAATTCAAGAACAGTTGATTACATAAAGAATTTCAAATGTCTAGATGTTTAAAGCATGTGAAGGACATGTCTGTGTGTTGTGTTATTTTCTCTTTCAGACACATTCAGCATTTTAATCAGAAAATATGAGTTAACACTAACATCTGTGTAATGGTAAGTTCCTTGAAATCTTAATTTCCCTCTTCTTCCTTCATTGAAAGCAGAATTTGTATATTTGGTAGAAATATATATGTGCAGACTTTTGGGGGCATCCTATTCAAAATAACTTTTTGCCCCAGATTTATGAACATAGAAGTGGACACACCATATAGTAACTCCAAATGCTCTTGGTATTACGTTTTTGAGCTACACTGAAATGAAGCAAGCAAGCTCTAAAGGAGAGGACAAGGTAATTGTTCAAAAGTTGGATATTTTTAAATTATCTCCAATTTCTTTTGTAAGTTGTGCATAGTTTTAAGTAAAGTTTTAAGTACATGAGACACCATCAAAAACTGTGCATCTAAAGTATTTCAGCTTCTTCAACTTGCTCAAGTAGCACCACATAAGAATAAAGATTATTCAGTGAAGCACAGAGCTAAGGAGAAAGTAACACTTAGAAATGTCTGAATAAAAGTATCCTTCCCTGAGTGAGGGAGAAGGAGCTAATGTAAAATTAATAAAGCATATGATGACTGCCCACCATATTATCATAGCTGCTTCACCCATGTACATATATCTCTCCTTTACATTTTATGATAAATATTCACATTGTTCAAGACATAAAGGTGATATAAATAAATTTCTAAGAGCTTTGAGTCCACTTTCTCTACCTTAATATCACTGTATAATCTGACTACCATTGACTATTCCTCCTATCCACATTAATGCTTTGCTGGAGGTAGGGTGGGATGAGTAACATTCTTGAATCCACTTGTAATGGGCAATTCATTGTCAGTATCACAAAGTATACTATGTGTGTGCTTACATTTATCATCCCCTAACAATAAAGATTGATTTAACCTCATATCCATGTCCACTAGCTCAGTATCAAGCTGCCTAATCATGCTGTCAATTTTACTCAGTTCCAACACTTGCTCGGTAGTAATATCTAATGTCACCAAAACAAATGTTTCAAATGCTAATTTCAGGACTGTATTTAACTACTTCATAGCTTTTCAAAAGGTTCATTAACTATATTTTCACAAGCTCCAAGGTATTAATGATTCCTCAAAGCTGATATGAACTAAAAATCATACAGTATTTCCTCATAGGTTCATTTTGTCTAAAGGAGAAAGATATTCTTATCTGAAGACCCACCTGAGCTCTTCTCTGTTGTCCTATCTATTCTAGAGAAATGAACTTTTCCAGACTTGTTTGAACCACAGATTGCTACCCATAAGCACAGGTCTCTCTCTCTCCCTCTCTCTCTATCTCACTCGCTCGCTCTCTCATGCACACACACACACACACACACACACACACACACACACACACACAAGTACATGAACACATACGCCCATACATACACACACTGCAAAAGCTAAGAGTGTTGTGGCACAATACATATCAGTGATCCTAAATTTGTTGAGTTCCACTAAATATACTCAAGTAAATTATACATAATGAATCAGGGATTAGAATGGAAATAATTTTAACTAAGGATTGACTAAGGCTTCCTCCAAAAGAATCCTTTCACTTCTTTAAAAAAAATGAATCTAATTACACTCACTTGGTTGATATTTCTGACCCAAATACTGGCTTCAAGGGTGTTTTACACTGCACTATAGATACAGGATCCTAAAGGAGGCCAAAGATATAAATAGAACAGCAATTTGGCACAGGAACTATTCCCAAGTGTTTCCCACAGTTCCAAATCACTGCTCTCCTATTAAAGAGATAACTCTTCTCCTGATAAACTTTCAGTAAGTATATCTACCATCTTGATCCAACCTAAGAATCACAATCATGTGGATATATCAATGCCAGGCTCTAGATCACTAACCATAAAGGACACTGAACACTGAATCATATTAGAGAAGAAAACATACTGAAATGTGCAGTGAAACTTTGTTTTCAACCCTCAAGTTAGATATGGGTGATTAATTTTTTTCTGGAGAATAGTAATAGTCCTATAAAATTTCAAACAACTGCACTCCAATTTTCCAGACTCATTGCCCACTATTATTCTAATTTACTACATGTTCCTACCAAAATGAAAAACACAATTTTCTTTACAAACTTTCTGTATCTTTTACTATTGCGTTTGCAATAAAATATCCTTCGGTCTAGAGTCTATGCACTCATCTTGTACAAAAGAAATCTCAAGTGTCTATTACTGGGCCAATGAAATCACTCATTTGGTAAAACACTTGCATGCAACCTGAGGACCTGAGTTTAATAACTGAATCCTTCAGATACCCCCATAGTGTTTTTTGATTTACCTGCAATCACACAGATAAACAATAGCATGCTATTTTTAAGGAAAAAATGTTAATTATTTTTAGGAATTTCTAATTGCTGAAATTTTAAGCATGTTGTTACAGAACATTAAATACCTGCCATAGTTTTCATAAATTTTCAGTGGTAAATTATGTGAACAATGTGGCCCAGTTAATAAAGCAAGTGAAAATGTTATGAACATGTGTTTTAAGAAGATAATAGGATATTCTCATAATTTAATATTCATAGGTATTATGGAATATTCATAGGTCTTATGGATTTATCACTTCTGATTAAATATAGTCATAAACAATGAGTTTTCCTCCACCCTTGCAAAGGTCAATTCTGTCATATGCTTCTAAATCCATCTCTTACACTATGC